TTTGCATTTTGACACTAAAGTTACGCAGCTCGAGGCTCCCTGCTGATCAGTCTGCCTCACAATGTCCAAAGGCTTGGATTTAGCAAAAGACTCTCATTTCTGCTTTAACAGCGGTACCGTCTTTGCTGGAGGTTTTTCTACATGTACAACGAGGGTTTGCTTCACAAAAAAAGAACTCGAGATGGTCCTGTATTTGTGTGGCAGGCTTTTTAAATTCCCCAATTGCTTTTGTCATCGAAGTAGACAGGCCACATTGCTGTAACAGGAACTTGTGTTTTTATGACCTTCAGTCATTGATTTAATCGTGTGGGTGCTCTTGTAGAGGAAGTGTATTTTGAACTTTATAGCTGCACAAGCTCTGCTTTGCAAGAGCTCATTATTTTTAGTACATGCAGAGGGAAACAACGTGTCTTGTTTATATATATATATATATATATATATATATATATATATATATATATATTCAGTAGCTCTACTAAGTAATTCTCCTCTACTGCTTACAGGTGGCTGGCCAATGGAGCCATTCATTACAAAGGGTCTGAGTCGCTGCAGGAGCTGTGAAACTTACTCTGCAATCAACATTTGGAAACTCATTATGCCAACTAGATTAAATATACCAAAGTGTAATTTTTGTTTTATTGGAGATAATTTGCTAATATTACCTTCGCGTGTATTTGGGTCTAATACTAAAGGAAATATAAAAAATACAAAGCTCCTTTAAGATTTTTTTTAATAGTGATTGGTATTCTGTAATTGGCAGCATCATTTCTCCACTATAGCTTTATTTTTTTATTTTTTTAACATTATGCATTTATGTTGTTGCTCCATTAAAATGTCCATCATTGCAGCATAATTGTTCAACGGTGTATTCAATATTAACTGAAGGCTTTTACTATCCAATTTAGCTTCAGTTTTTGTTAAATACTGCCACCTGCTGGAATTACTTTATTACTTTTTCATCGTAGTACATGATGAAAAATGTGCACACAGTTGATCCCTGTTTTATGAAATAGTGCAAAGTAAGCTAAAAATGCATTTATTATCCACTGTATCTGCATTACTAGTGCATTACTAATAGCACTAGAACCTGTACTGTACTACTTTGTATTGTTATCAATAAAATGAAACAGAATTTGTGGTTTCAATTTGGCAAAACATAAAAA